GCGCCGAAATCCGCAAGGCGTCAATGTGTCAACACCCTTTGACGACAATGCAGATTTGCACGTAGCGTGCTCGTGGGACCACGCCTCTTTTTGGCGCGCCCAACTCTCGCACAAAATGGGGCAAAATTGTCCTCCTAAAAGCACTTCTATCAAAATTTGACTATGACAATAAAGCAAAATATGACTGCAGTCTGTAAGCTTTATGATCATGTATTGCTGGAATTAGAGGTGGAAGCTTGAAAAGATGTCTCGGATTTCAGAGGGATGGTGTTTGAAAACTTCCTCCTGTTTGAAAACTCTAGAAGCTCAAATGTACAGTAGAATTTTTATATAGTCCGAACTCCTCCTTGTGTTTAAGATTGTGAAAAGACGTAGAGGTTCTGTTCTGTAATTCATCAATTGAATTGAGCTTAATAATGTAAAACACTAGTTTATACATCGCCGTGCGAAGTGCCATGTGTTAAAATTTCATATATAATAAACTAAGTAGTACCAAACATTTCTGCAAAATATGCTGAACATAGGCGTAACAGAGCTTGCTCATAATTGCTGATATATCTAATATGTTTTGAATGGGTAAAGAAGAAAATTGGATGATTTCACTTATACACAAACAGAAAGAATCTGATATAGAAAATTTTCTGAATAACGTATATAACAATACGTTAGAGCTACAAAAACTAACCCAAACGAATTTGCTAGTGACTATTTAGACCTTAGTATTAGTATAAAAAATGATCAAATCTTTACCAACTTGTATAATAAAACAGATGATTAATTTCAAAAAGTTCTTAGATTTCCACATTCTCAAACTAATATCTCTCTTCAAAATAAAGCTCAGTGTTTATACGAAGCCTCTAAAAGCCAACGTTTGCTCTAACAAATTAAACACTGTATACACGAAAAAATAAAGACCTAATCAAGAACAAGGATAAATAACGGCTACTCAAAGAACTTTATAATTGCTAACCATATCAAAAGTATTTATAAAAACAAGTTCATTGGTTATAAATTTGCATTAAATAATAATATATCCATAGCATTAGAAAACTGGTCACAAGAATGCTTGAATAACCTTGGTCCCGATAAGCATTGACCTTTAGTTACATATCATTCTCCTCTTGTGCACCCCTCCCTCTTATAACTCATTGCATTCCTTCTTAGCCTTGTCCTCCTACAAGAGGCTAACCTGCTCCAATACTAATAACACTTAGTAATTAATACCGTATCTGCTACAGTATCCAATACTGAGTATTTTACCGTACACCTACATTAAATGCACACCATTTACCTAATTTTCAATTTGCAAACCTTACGTCTTTCTTTAAACCATGTCTACTAACGTTTTAGTCTACTGTTTTCACATATTTCTCATAACATCTGCTGACATAGTATAGACATCACAATGCATTCATTCCCAATCACTGAAGAGCCTCAGGGAATGAAGGTTACAATGGTTCGTATGATTAAGAGGCGGAACGAACGAACCATTTTCTTATCATTAACATTTCTTCAGTCTCACATTTCGTATTTCCTCCCCTTCCTTTTCTCATTGGAACATGGCTGTCAGACATTCTACCAAGAGGGGAACCGGGTACGTTGTTCTCCGAGCTCCGTTCATCGGGATCATTCTCTTAATCTTTTGATCATACCTTTACACCATGTTGTTTATTACAATTTCACGTTTAGAATGATAAGCCTCACATATCATTACACTTCCTTCACCCCTGGAGTTTTAAACTGATTGTTCCTCAAACTATGAATAAAACTGTTGAAACACATCTGCGTCCACAGACGGCTTCTCTTTTCCACTCATACTGAGTTCACTCTGCTTAAACTAACTCTCACTTCTAATCAAGTCCATTTTCATTATTCTCATAGTTTAAAACACACTGTATCATAAGCATTTATTCCAATGCTTTTATATTCGGTAGGTCTTCAATTGATAAAACATGTTAAGCTAATAGTCATATAAAACTGGAAAGGTTAATAACATAAACAATATGTATTGATAGAAGACTATTCATTTGTCGGCTCATTCTCCTCCATCACTTCTCGATATTTTATTGGACATGTCCTCACTCAAAACCAATTCCCTTTTACGAGATTGATTTCTAGTATCCTGAATAGGAAACGGATTTTTCATAATTGAGACATCATTCAGTTTACACTACTCAACAATTTTTGAAAGTTTAACCATACATAATCATCACCTCATTGGTAAGCTCAGAGTTTTCCGTATTTTCCTCTCCTACTTGATCTAAAGACAGCAATCTTTCCACCTTCAGGGAACCCCACTGAATAGCTCCTTTCTAGAATATCCACTTTAAATGATATTGTTTTCAACAAATCAACCATTCATTCACCTCATAACCTTGTAGATCCATAGTACTTAATAAGGATTTGATAGGTGCTCCATTCCACTCTCGATAGTCCCATCCTAACAATATTGATTGGCGGGAACATCGCTGTGATTGGTTGCTCCTCCATCCAGGCGGTGACGTCATCACTGGCGAGCGGCTCCAGGTTATCGATCGACTAAGGGGCTGTAGCGGTTGAAAGAGGATCTATAGCTATAACAACAACAGAATGAGATAAGATACATCAAACAAACAGGCATAGAACACATTCTTCATGGGAACATAACATACCTGGCGGTGGAGAAGAGTCGTCCCGACGCTCAGCTTCATCGATGCCATTCACTGGAAGAGCTCGGCTGCTGTGTACGATCCTCTCCAAATTTTCGGTTCCTCGTGTTCGTGCGCCCATGTGGCTGTCTTCTGTGATGCAGGAAACTCGTTCGTCCTTGCTAAACTCCCTCGCTGCTCGTCCATCGAGCACACGGCCCACGGAATGGCGTATTGAGATGGTGGCGGGCCCGTCCTGGATCTGCAGTGACGAAGAAGTTCGACTTGGACTCGTCCCTGCTTTTCTTCGCTCGTGCAGCTTTCTCCTCACGGCGCACTTCCAGATTGGTCACGTGGTAATTCTTTTTCGCACCGAGACAAACCTTTCGACGTAAAGAACACTGGGTGTAGAAATCCATCATCCCCCTGCTGACTCAGAACAGCACCAAGCAGCACCCTTCTAGCTCCTTCAGTATTTGGCTGTGTCAGCACTGGCGCCTGCGCAATGATTGGCTTCAGTTTGCTTCCAAGTGGGATTCTACAATACTGCTCCTAACTTTTGTAACATCTACGCGTTGCGACGGTTTGTAGCGTCGCAAACCGTCGCACCATCATAACTTCCTTCGAAAGCGGGTAAAATGAAGGATCTTTACAGCAATGGACTCGTCTCTCTGTGGCGAGTCTAACCATGTGCAAAACTACTAATTTGGTTGAACTGATAATAAGTTATTCCATGAAAACTATTGTCGATCCCTCGTCTGACAGTCTCGCCTCTCCTCATTTCCATTATCTCTCCAATCGGGGACCAGCTCTTAGCTACCGCCTCGATGATTTCGTAACGCCTCACTTCGAGCCCTTCGCCACTTACGATTGGACGTGAACGCCAATGATGCTCGCCTCTTCGAGGAAGATTCCCGCGCGCGATCGTTTAACACGTTGACGACGTGCTGACGCGTATGCGCGTCAGCAGTTTGAGGCCATCCGAAACCCATCCGTATTGCAGCGTATGTGCTTTTACTGGAACAACCAGTTCCAAAATAATTTTGAAACGCGTTGGACCAGAGCGATTGTGAGTTGTGAGTTGTGAGCGCCGCTCGCACACTAAATCCATGGATTTTGAACTGTAAATACGTAATAATGCGATGAAATGTTTCAATGATGTTCGATCTGTCTAACTTATCGGGAGTTACAGTAATGGAAGTTTGACCGAAATGACGTGTTAAGGCCATGAAAAGGCAAATTTTACTTACTTTCCCTTTAGTGGTTCCAAAATTAATTTGGACGTGGTTGTTTCAGTAAAAACACATATCTTCCCATACGAATAGGTTTGTATTCGCTTCTATTATTCCTTTTTATCAACATGTTACGTTATTGAAAAGAAAACGAGGAATGAACTGAACAGACATATCCGTAAGGTCTGGAAAATCTGCCAAACTAAAGAATATTTGGCCTTCTTGTGAGCCATGTGGTTTCTTAAGTATGCTAATGTATGAGCTCCGCCCGCAATGGGCGTGGCGCGCATCGAAATGAACTTTCTGAAAAGCAAGTCTTCAAGTTTTATAACAAAACAGCCTCAAACCAGGGAGAAGGATGCGCATTGGTAAGTCAGATCGAATTAGGGAAACCCACCCCGGTGGGCGGGCGTTCTCCAAAAAAGCAGTGCTTATGAAAAATTTCATAACTCGGTTGGGAGAAAGCCTACAGAGCAGAAAAAAATTGGTGTAGGGGAGCAATGTCTAAGGTGTTCCCAGCATACATGACGTGAGCGGAGGCCCGCCCACAATGGGCGGAGCGTGCTCCTGAAGTACACAGCGTTTCCTACAAGTCCTCATAATTCGGTTCCGAGAAGTCTTGGAGAGCGGGAAAAAGGTGGATAGAGGTTAGAGAAGAAGGAGAGGTTGAATGCTAAAGGTGGGCGCGGCGTGCACAAAAGTGGGCGGAGTTTGCTAACAAATTTATAACTCGGTTCCAAAAGCCGTGAGACCGGGGAAAAGTGAATAGAGGTCAGCGAATTAGATGAGCTAAGTGCAATTGGGGCAGGTTATCCACAAAGCATAACTCGGTCCAGGAGGCCCCGGAGACCGGGAAAAAGTGGGTCAAGTCTCACAACGGGATCAATTACCATTGGTAAATTGCTATTGGTGGGCGGAGTGCGTCGAAGTTATAATTCGGTCTTAAGAACTCCTGAAGACCGGGAAAAAAGTGGTTAGAGGTCAATGACAATGGTTGACGAAGAAGAAGAGGTCAGAAGCCGTCGGTGGATGGAGCGGATAGAATCTAGCTCAGAAGTCAAATATTCGTAGTGTAACGGGCCAAATTTGAGATTTACGCCGCACCAACCCATATCGCCGCAGATCTGTGTTGTGCGCGCAATGCGTGCGGCGCCAACTGGTAGCTCATAGAGGAGGAAAGCAATAGAAAATGCATTGTTTGTGCGGTGAAAGCGTCCCTGAACAGCACTCTAATGATTGAAATGTGGGAGCTCAAATACCAACATAGTTTTGCTTTTTACACCTACCAACAAGTCCTTCTGAGCTTGTAAATGTGAACAAAATGGACCAATAATAGCAGTGAAAATTTAATTAAGTTTGGTTACCTCTCAGGAGAAGAATTTATAGTCTTCCATTTTAAGAGAGGCTTTTTAAGGCATAGGCGACAGCGTAGGACACATACGTCCCGCTTTTTCACACGGAAGGGTCTAGTTATTCTTAAATTGTGTCTCCATTTTATGGTTCCAAACTGCCCATTCCTATATTTGAATACAAAGTATATTCATTCCCATGAACTCTTAACACTCAACTTTCCAACAAGAAGAGTTCCAGATGCTGGGCAATCACTTTCTGGAAGCAAACTCTAGCCTCTCGTATTGGGTTGTCCAGAAAATCCTGCGACACTTTGTCCAAGATTTTTTGATTACACCTTCTTTTGTTGAATGAAATATTCAATCAGCAAGATTATCACCATTACCATATAGGAGACGTGTCCTTTTTCCGGGCAGCTTCTCAACCTCTTACTTTAGGATTCCGGCGTTTGCTTTGAAAGAAGCGATCGATCCCATTTTCGAGTTGACCTCAGTCATCGGATTTATCATCTTCTAGATGACGCTTCGGAACACAAATCACCTGCTAATTAGGGCGGCTGAGTACGGCGAGTAAGCTAAGGACTGCGAAATTCCCAGTCGAAATCCATGATCTTTTGATATGTAATCCTTCGTCACATGCTATGCGTGGGGGTGGGGTAACACAATTTTGTGCATTTCTGGGTGAACTTCCACGCATGGCTTCGGCCAAATTTCAGAGCTAGTTCAGAGCCGACAATGGTCATCACCGCGGTGCAGGTATCCAGCAGCTTCCTGTGAAGAACCAATTTACAACCTCTATCAGTGGCACAAAACTCATCTCTAAATAGTACCTCGCAGGCAGCTTCACTCTCAGTCGGATCCAATTGAGCTTATGTGAACAGTTTCCTCAAAGCTCGAGCTATCTCCGTTAATCATCATTTTTGCCAAGAGATCCTTCTATGCGGAGGAAGAAGAGAAATCTCTACCATGGTCGGAAACTTCGCCTCCCACATTGGAGCAATCCATGTAGTACTCATTGTGAACATGCTGCCCTGTAACCAAGATTGTGGGAATCTTCGATGACTGCCAGTCGAGTGCACCTCAGCATTGTTGCTAACTCACGACTGGTAGCATTCAGCTGCGCCTCTGGGAAGTTGAGCAAATGCTCTCCATTTGTCACCTACAGCCGACCAGCACAGTGCTTATTGAGTCGAATATCTCTGGATGCTGAACTTTAGGGACAACGGGACACTATGGTCTGCTGAGCGGGTACCACCTGAATGCAGCACAGATGCTGGCTTCAACGCATTCAAACAGAGTGGCTTCCTAAGGTTCTCGAGAAATAAAATAGGTCAAAAGATAACTCGTTCAGAGAGAAGTTTGGAGCTGTAAAACGTGCTTGAAGCCTTCATGTACGCTTCTGCTGGAACCCTCAAAGACACACTACAGTAAGTCAAATGTCAGAACAACTAAAAAGTGTTTTGATTTTTCCCTAAACTTATTTGTTCAAAGGGTTGCAGAATTTTCCGGACAACCCAATAGATGGTTGTCATTATAATGTTCTCTTCTGCCAACGAGGGTTTTAGGTGCATACTTTTATTAGTAGCCTGACCTCTTCACAGTCGTCTTACTCAAAGGTCTAAACGTGGCTCAAGGGAACCGAGTTATAAATATGTTAGCAAACTTCGCACTTTTGTGCACGCTGTGCCCGCCTTTGGCATACGACCTTTCCTTCTTCTACGACCTCCAATCCATCTTTTCCCCGCTCTCCAGAACTTCTCGGAACCGAATTATGGGGACTTGTATTGAGTGCTATGTACTTTGGAGACGCTCCGCCCATTGTGGGCGGGGCTCCCCCAAAGTGCATAGCATTCAATCCAATTCAGAGGTCGCAAAGAAGGAGAGGTCGTATGCCAAAGGTGGGCGCAGCGTGCACAAAAGTGCGAAGTTTGCTAGCATATTTATAACTCAGTTAACTTGGATCCTTTGTGGAGAAGCTCCGCCTTCCGTGGGTAGGTTTCCCTAATCCGATCTGACTTACAATGCGCATCTTCTCCCTGGTTTTGAGGCTGTTTTGTTATAAAACTTGAAGACTTGCTTTTCAGAAAGTTCATTTCGATGCGCGCCACGCCCATTGTGGGCGGAGCTCCGCTTAACTGATATGTGTTTTGTACTTCGTGACACCCTGTCCACCCATCTCACACTTGACCTGGTTCCTGCACGCGGATCCCAAGAAGCTAGGAATTTCGTCTATGTAAATATGTAGCTGCGGTGAGGGCCGCCTCAATGGTCGATTGTTTAACACGTTGACGACAGCGTGACGCGGTAACGCGTCCCACCCAAGTCATCCCTTTTTCTTGCGCTTGCGCGACTTATTCCTAAGGTCTTTGTACTCATTCTATAGGCCATACATTAGCATACTTAAAAACCACATGGCTCACAGAAAGGCCAAATATTCTTTAGTTTGGCAGTTTTCCAGACCTTACGGATATGTCTGTTCAGTTCATTCCTCGTTTTCTTTCATGCACGTTAACAGGTTTATAAATAGGAATAATGAAGCAGCGTCAGCATCGTGTCTGAACGTCGATTAAACGATCGCGCGCGGGAATCTTCCTCGAAGAGGTGAGCATCATGGCGTTCAAGTCCAGTCGTAAGTGGCGAAGGGCTCGAAGTGAGGCGTTACGAAATTATCGAGGCTGTAGCTAAGAGCTGGTCCCCGATTGGAGAGATAATGGAAACGAGGAGAGGTGAGACTGTCAGACGAGGGATCGACAATAGTTTCAACGTGGTAACTTGTTATTAACTGAACCAAATCAGTAGTTTTGCATATGGTTAGAATCGCCTTAGGGAGACGACTCCATTGCTGTAAAGGTCCCTTCATTCACCCGCTTTCGAAGAAGTTATAATGGTGCAGACGGTTTGGCGAACGCACAGAACCGTCGCAACGCGTAGTTGTTACAAAAGTTAGGAGCAGTATTGTACGAGGGAGTCAAAGCATGACTCCTTCGTAGAATCCCACTTGAAAGGTACTTTCTCGGACGTCATCTCATGTAGCGGCGCAGCTACCTTCTAGAATCCCAATACGAACTTACGGTAGTACGAGAACATGCCGAGAAAAGTCCGAAGATCCGAGCGTGACTGCGATATTCGGGTAGCTCCTGATCGCTTCCACCTTCGCACCATGGCTGGATCCATGTGCAACCCACTCTGATCAATCACGTAGCCGCGAAAAACTCAACTTTCCCCTCCAGTAAAATACATTGCTTTGGGTTCAATTTAGAGTGCTTTCAACAATTACTGGAAAACTCGTTCCAATACTCGTAAATGCTGCTCCACCGTCGCTACCATGATGTCCAGGTAACAGAACACATCCTCTCCTAACAGAGGACCCAGTCGTCGGAAGACGAGTGGCGATGACGCTAATTCGAATGGCAAACTGGATAAACCTCTAGTAGTTGTAAATGCAGATGTTTCCTTAGCATCAGCTGACAAGCTAATTTGCCAGTAGCCTGACGATAAATCTAAGGTCGAAAGTATCTTTTACCCTTCAGACTTTGCAAAATCGTGTCAATCGTTGGCAAGGGATAACTGTCAACTCTTGTCACCTGATTGAGCTTCCGATAATCCACGCATAATCTGAGAGTTTCCGTCCTTCTTCTTGCACCAACACGATGGGCGAAGCCCAACTCGATTTACTTGGCCCGATGAATTTCGTTCTTGTAAATCATTCAGAGTGAGCCGTAGCTCCACTCGTCTTATCAGCCCCTATCAGCTGTTATCACTTTCTGGTCCCCGTCAAATATATTCTCATCCCACTCCCTATATCATATTCGGAAGACAAAGCCTCACACTACTGGGTCGCGCTCCGTGTATTTCGTGACGTCCGCGTTCTAACGGTGGTGGGTGGTAACCGTCTCCACCCGCCGGCGTTGTTGTATACTCGATATATATACTCCACCATTGACCGCTCTGCGTCCGTCATTGACCGCTCTGCGTCCATTGCACGCGGTCGGATTGCACGCCGCTCCCTAGTCGTCCGTGTTTGTGGGATAATCTGCTGGATGTCTGTCAGTATTTCTGTATTCTATTCGTTCTTCTGCTGAATCGAATCCAGCCAGTCCTGCCATTCCACTGATACGACCACCGGACGTCTACTCTTTTGGATTGCATGAGTACTAGTGTGGCACGGTACGAAATAAGAAGAGCTTGCCACCTTTACAGGTTATTGATTATTGATTATCGATCTTCGTTTCGACATTTTCTCACGCAGTTTCGATTGATTTTTTTTGTGTTGCGTTGCTTCTGGTGGCTGGAAGCTATTCTGTTTTTCAATTTAAGAGCCACCAACTTAGGTTTGACATTGAATTTCACTAGTGACTATGATTTCTGATACACCCGTCTTTCCCGTTAAAGTTCAGGAGGGCACCAAGAGGAAAAGAAGGTTGGATTTCGATGTGTCCCCATCGCCTGATTTTGCTCTGGCCGCTGATGAACTCACGAAGGATGAAAACATCCCGCTTCATGTTCGCACCGTTTTGGCGGTTTTGCTTGAAAGCAGAAAGGAACTCGATGCAATGTCCAAGGAAATTAGAGCCCTTAAGGAAGAAAATATGGTGCTACGCAAAACAATTGATAGCTTTCGTTTGTCTACTTCTAAGGATAGTGTTGCTTGTCAAGATAGCGTGTCTTCGGTTAGGCCCCTTGATAGTGTGAGTCAGTCGTTGTCTTTTGAGGATGTGGAACGTAGGAGATCCATTGTGGTAATAGGTGTACCTGAGAGTCGGAGTAATAGGAGTTTCGAGAGAATTGCTCATGATCGTCACTGTATTCATCAACTTTTCGATTACCTTTCTGTGGATTGTTTTCCCGTTTCATTGTATCGGATGGGGCGCCCTAGCCCATCTTACAATAGGAATTCTCAAAGTTGTTTTGCCTAACTCGTTTTTTGCCAAGCTTGTTTTGCGGCGCGCACATCACTTGAGATACTTTCCGCTCCAAAAAGGTATCTTCATAAGGCCCTCTTTGGCTAAAGAAGACCGGGAACGGAACCGTATTGAGAGAGAGGCACGCAGCAAAAGAGCGAGCAGTAGTAATTTTGCAGTAAATAGTCAGAGCTTCGCTGTAAACAGTAAAAAGCCTACTCATGTGAAGCGTGATAATTTCTTGTCGTCTAATGTTTCGTCACGTACTCTTAGAGATGAAACTAATTTCCAGGATGTTTCTCCTAATTCTGTTCACTCAGTCAGTTCAAACATGTAGCGCCTCCCCGGATGTATGATGCTCGTTTGAAGTGCCTCTTGACCAACATCCGTTCTCTTTCCAAAAATATTGGTGATCTCCTATTTCGGATCAGGGATGGGAACTTTAGTGTGGTAGCTCTTACCGAGACATGGTTGTCTGATGTTATTAGTAATGAGTCCTTGTTCGGGGAATATTGTAGACAGTATGAAATTCTCAGATGTGACAGATCCGACAAACGTGGTGGTGGTGTCGCTGTGATCGCAAGCAAAATTTTCTACCCCCGAATCATATTCAAGGAGTCGATAGATAATTCCTATGAGATCATGGTAGTCGACCTGGACATGGCGTATTCCAAGGTCAGGTTAGTTTTAGTTTATAGGGCTCCATCATGTCCCATTAGTATGTTTGAACAGTTGCTCAAAGCTATTGGTGATATGGTATGTACTGATTCTCATTTCATTTTACTCGGCGATTTCAATCTTCCGGATATTTCGTGGCGGCAGGGAGTAAGTCCCAAAGCCAATGGGCCGCGTGCATTACGATTCATTGAATTGTGTCGTAGTTTAGACCTTCATCAACTAATCTTTGAAGGCACTCATGGGTCAAACACTTTAGATCTCCTTTTGGTCAACAACATGGAACTAGTTACAAGTACACAGGTTCTAGCGCCAATAGGTGGTAGCGACCACGCGTCCGTCCTTTTTGAGCTGAACATCGAGGCAGAATATAGGGTCAACACAGTGTTCAAACGAGACTTCAGGACTGCGAATTTTGACGTAATCATAGAGTACCTAAATAATGTAGACTGGTACGGCTCTTTTAATAGTGTTGACACGGTGAATGACAAATATGAGATATTTTTGGCTATTCTTCATCATGCAATCGAATTATTCGTCCCTCTCAAAGCTCAAAAGACCAGTGTGGACCAATTACCACAACATCTGATCAGATACAGTCGTAAAAAGAACCTGGCATGGAATAAGGCCGTAGCAAGCGATAATCCGGAGAATTGGGATAAGTATAAGAAGATCAGCGCCATTTTCGAGAAGAGGGTAAATAAGTTTCGTAGTCGAATCGAAAGAAATGTTATTAACTCCAGGAATAAGAATGCGTTTTATAGGTTACTTAATTCAAAGCTGAAGAAAAGCAAGGGATTAGGGGTTCTGTTTGCAGAAGATGGTAGAGCCGTATGTCGAGATGAAGATAAAGCCGAACTATTAGCCAGCATATTTGAAAAAGCTTACCAGAAAGGGGTTGAGGTCTCAGAAGTAGATGCCACTCCCTCATTTCCTGTGATGGGCGACTCTATTTGGTTCCAGAGAGAAGAAATTCACAAGCTATTAGCCAGGTGGCCCAAATCTCGTTCTGATACACCGGATCACATTCCTCTTGAATTCGTTAAAAAAGTGGCGTACGTAATTTCGGGACCACTAGCGTTTCTTTTTAATTTGAGCTTCATGAGAGCTGAAGTACCAGAGAGATGGCGAATGTCATTTGTCACTCCCATTCCTAAGAAGGCTCCTCACACTTGTCCCTCCAATTACAGACCTGTAAGCATAACTTCTATATTTGCTAGGTTGTTTGAGAGGGTTTTGAAGAGAAGAATTATAAGTCATTTGGATGAGTTTGATGTCATTGCTGAGCAGCAGCACGGCTTCCGTAAAGGTAAATCGACCGTGACAGCAATGCTCCAAGCGCTCAATGACTGGACATCTTATCTTGATGAGGGGTTAGGAGCGGATGTAGTCTATTTAGACTTTGCGAAGGCGTTCGATAGAGTCTCCCATCCTAGACTGATTGCCAAGCTTATTTCGGTGGGTATTCATCCCAGAATAGTGACGTGGATCAAGGCTTTCCTAACGAATAGGTCTTATTTGGTTCGAGTCAATGATAAATTTTCCGAGCCAAGACCAGTTTATAGTGGTGTACCACAAGGGGGTGTTTTGTCACCCATACTCTTTAATATATACACCTTCGAACTACCTCGATTGGTTAGTTCTAGAGGGGTCAAGTGTGTGGCCTTTGCGGATGACTTCAAATTATACCATCCGATTTTATCGAGTCAAGATAAAGAGTTGGTGCAGGAAGCCATCAATGATGTTAGCAATTGGGCAATTCAGTGGGAGTTACCGTTGTCTAAAGAAAAGACCAAGGTTTTAAGGATAGGAAAAGTCCCCGAAGACTATACATACTCGATCGAGGGAGTTCAGTTGGGTATGGTCAAAGAAATCAGAGACCTGGGTTTTCTTGTAAGGAGTGATCTGAGCTTCGATGAACATTGTTCTTTGATCGCCTCTAAAGCAACGGTTGTAATGTATAATTTATTCCGATCTCTCTTGACGAAGGACCCGCACGTTCTGTGCAGTGCTTATAAAATCTACATTAGACCGATACTAGAGTATGGAACTGTAGTTTATAATCCTCACAAAATAAAATCAATAAAAACTTTGGAAAAGGTTCAAAACAATTTCACCAGAAAGGTTTTCATGAGAACGGTCGGGATCAGGTATGACCAGATTCCTAATTGCGATGCACGCAATCTCAACCTCGGTCTCGAGACCCTGGCGCTTAGGAGGAAGAAATTCGACCTTTTGACTTTTTTTAAGATTCTACACTTCAGAACAGGTCTCAAGCCTAACACTCTGCTTGCCTTCAGGGAGTCAAATACGCGGGGTAGTTCTAGGAAGGTGGTTGCTCGCAGGGCAAGACGTAACATCAGGCACCATTTCTTCGTTAACAGGACCACATTGGAGTTCGAGAAGCTGGTCAGACTGGGAGCATCCACCAACAAATTTAGCTCATTTAAAACCGCTTTGGACAAGCATCTTACATCATAGCTCCTTAACTTTTGCTTCCTTTTTCTTCTGTCTCAGTTCTACTGCTTTAATATTTGGATTGATGTTGTTTTACGATATAGATGTGTTCTGTTTGTTTGTTATGCTTCTTTTTGTTGTTATCTCACACACAGGCAATCTGTGTAATAAACAAATACAAAACAAATACAAACTTTAGGGACAACCTTATACTTACGCCGCCACTTCGGGAAAGTTGGCGAATAGTGGTAGTGTCATAGTATTATACCTCTTTTGCGCTGCATGGAGTTCATTCCATCGCAATTTCGTGCGTCATCTGCGTAGAAGATGGTCTTTAGCGGTCCTTCCATGAGCCCTTTCACCAGGACATCTAGTGTCAGGAGGAAGAGGAACGGGCTCAGAGCTGACCCTTGGTGCACCCCAACCGTGATGTCCACTTCCTTCGTTAGGCCGTGTGGGGTGCGTATAGCTGCCTTCGCCCCATCGTACATGTCCTTCACCAGCGAGACCAGGTGTTCTGGCACGTTCCGTTCCCTAAGCGCTCTCCATAGTACCGCTCGTGGTAGCCGGTCGAACGCCTTCTCCAGGTCGAGGAAGGCTAGGTAGCAGGGTCGGCGCTTTTCTCGATACTTCTCCATCACTTGCCTTGCGATGAAGATGGCATCCGTTGTAGACCTTTCGGGCATGAACCCGAACTGTTCCTGGGAGATCGGGACCAGCTCCCGCAGTTTCGAGTCGACCAGTCGCTCGTACAGCTTCATTGTATGAGCAGTCAACTTGATCCCGCGGTAGTTGGAGCAGTCCATCGCGTCACCCTTCTGCTTGAAGATGGGGACGATAGTGCTTGTTCTCCAGGCATCTGGCATCCTTCCTTCCGCAGTTATGTTGTTGAGGAATCGTGTGAGCCATCCTATCCCGTAGTCACCCAGCGCCTTCCATGCCTCAATTGGCACCCCATCTGGGCCAACCGCCTTCCCAATCTTCATCCTCCCAAGTGCACACCTAACCTCATCCTCAGTCCAGAGTGCGATGGGACCAGCTGTGGCCTCTGCCCGTGAGTTGTTCTTCGTGGGGGAACTCCTCGTTCAGAAGTGCACTGTAGTACTCTTCCCACCTCCTCTTGACTTCGGCTGGCTTCCTTAGGATGACACCATCGCTGCCTTTCACACTTTTCACCACCCTGATGTCTTGGGTAGCCCGATGCCGGGCTTTGGCCAGTCTGAAGACGAACTTCTCTGCGTTTCTGCTTTCCAACTTCTCGTACAAGGCGTCCATCTCCGTGTTCTTTCGCCTTGGCTACGGCGGCCTTAGCGAGCCTCTTGCAACTCCTTGTAGGTAGCGAGGTCTTCGGGGCTCCGGGTCTTCTGCCAGCGCTTGTATGCTTCCTTCTTCTGCTTCACGACTCGCTGGACCTCCTCGTTCCAGAACCACGCTGCCTTGTCTCCTCTGATTCCACCTCGGGTCTCGCCCAGTACCTCCTTGGCACATCGCAGGATGGTCTCAGCCGTCTTGCTCCATGTTCGCTGTATTGGCCCGTTAGGATTTGGGAGACCAACTTCCATTATCCTTCGTTTGAGGTCATCTTTCTCCGCTTGGTGCAACTTCCACCACCGGATTCTCCGCTCGGTTCTAACCCTTGTCTTCTTCGGGAGGTCCATGGCAATGTCTGCCAGGAGGGGCCTGTGCTGCGGAGCCAATTCTTCGCCAGGGAGTACCTTGATGTCTTTACCGATCTGAGGGATGATCTTCTTACCAGCACATGGTCGATTTCCGTTGTCGTCCCTCCACTGCTGTAGGTACCTTCTGAGTCTCCCTTTTCGCGAAGAACGTGCTGCAGATTGCCAGATCGTGGGCCGTAGCCAGGTCCAGGACCCTCTCTCCCTCGGCGTTCCTCACTCCTATCCCTCTACCTCCGTGCACCCTTTCCCGGCCTCTCCTGTCACTGCCGACGTGGCCATTCAGATCACCTGCTACGGTCAGGTAATCGCCTTCCGGAATCGTTCTTATGGCTTCGTCCAGGCTCAGGTAGAACTCGTCTTTCTCACTGTCGGGGCATCCTGTCTGCGGCGCGTACACGGAGAGTATTGTCCAGTACCCCTCCTTCGTGTCTATCCTCACAGCCATGATCCGATCGCTGATCCTGTTCACAGCGGAGACATAGTCCTTGAGCGACTCCGCTACCGCTATGGCCACACCGTTCCGCTTGGTGTCTTCTCCATTGTAGTAGAGCTTGACACCTTCCCCGATTTCCCTGGCCTTAGCACCTTTCCATCGCGTCTCCTGAAGGCATAGGACTTGGATATTCCTGCGCGTCATCAGGTCAGCAACCTCTCGGGACTTCCCAGTTAGCGATCCTACGTTCAGAGTCCCTATTCGAACTAGCTTCTTTGGCCGAGGCCGTTCACTCCTCGGTAGCCCTCGCATACTGACCACAGAACTCGGGCGAGGGTTCTGCGCGCCACTTCCGGGTGACGTCCTAGCTTTATCACTGATATCTTTTTCGACTTTAGACATGTTTTGTGTGACTGGGGTGTTCATCAGCCGGCCTGTCAACCTGGGCCTGACGCTGGTACTAGAACCATTTTTGCAATTTTTGCAAGGCATGGTTTACAGCCTCGGCAGGGATCGAACTCGCGGTTTTTCGGAGGTGCAGACATGAGTCTAACCTCTTAACCACTCGGCTATCCCTGCCGCCTTAATTGCGGATCGTTACCAATAATAGTATAAGTAATAACAAGTAATAATCAGCGATCCTTGGAACACTCTGACTCTCCGTGAAGTGATTTTTGATACGAAGAAGAAACAGTGGACCGAGCCTGTTGCACTGGTGAGGGAGATAGCGGACCGTTTATAGAAAATTGCAGCTGGGTGGAGTTGGCTGACAGGACAAAACGGCGCCCTACTGACCACTGCTTCATGCAAATGAGAAAAACGCTCGAGGGACATCCGCGCAGCTGAATGATAACGTGTGGGTATGCGAAACAGCTATTGTTGAACGGTAGAAAGGTGATAGCTGATCGCGAAAAAGTTACGCAGGTGAGCAGCTGAAAGGTCACCACGTCCAATGAGGGTTCTCATGGTAAAGTTTGTCCGAAAGGCATAATGCAGGGATAGCAACAACGGCGTCATGCACTGAATCCTCCACTGCTAGCATCTGAGCGGACGGGTAATGTAGCGGGTACCAAACCAACTTCTAAAAAACGAAATACACTTTGTACCAGCACAAAGGGTGAAAATCGTGTCGAGGACGTGGTCACATCAGTACGACCCCGCTCCCCCCCCCCCCTCAGATCGGGGTCTTGATACGACCCCTCTAACTTTGACTTGATGTGAATAAGCGAGTTCCATCAATGTACCGGCATCAATGTACCAGCGGAGTCGCTCAAGGACTATGTCTCCGCTGTGAACAGGATCAGCGATCGGATCATGGCTGTGAGGATAGACACGAAGGAGGGGTACTGGTCAATACTGCCGTGTACGCACCGCAGACCGGATGCCCCGAGAGTAAGAGAGACGAAGAAGTGTCCGGATAAAAAATGTGGCAAATTTTGTGGCGAGTTCAGATATCAACACGAAAATCCATGTCAAAACACCAAAAAATTTTGTGCTCATTTTATCATATCAGTCTCGATTTTCCTATGTTCAAAAATGATACAGCATGGCATGGACTACGGTCTCTAACAGGTAGCAGTTGTGAGCTACTTCCAAATCAGCGCAGCAGCAGAGCAGAGTCGATGGAAAGTCAGCTCTTCCGAGCCGCCGAATGCTGCTCTGCTGAGACATGTCGCCATACGCGTACCTTTTATGATGGGACATGAGTTTGCACTGCTCTCCCGCATCAAAAGAAGGATCTCCTCGAAGTCCTGCGCCTCCTTAGAAGCTGATCGAAACAGAATAGCCTACCATCTTGTTTAGGAACGCAGTGGTCGAATAGGCTACTGTTATTCCCGAATACATGAAGAGACAGAGATTGGGAGGTGCTCGGCTGTACGGTAGTAGATGAAAACAACAAGAAGAAGATTGCACAAAGACAATATTATGAGGAGCTCAAATGGATATAACCGAGAGTTTGGAGAAGGCAAGCTTGAAAAGAACAACCCTGATCGCGAAGCGCTTACCCGATTTTTTCGCGAAATGCAGAGTGGTTGTCCCTGAATCAGTGTTTCTCTTTCTAGCTTCGGTGTAGGTTGCTTCTTGTTTACGATGGTCTGCTATGACCGTGTGAGCTGAATTTAGCTTCCCAAAATATTGTGGAGCATTCACCTGAGCACTCAGTAATTTCGATGAGTCCTCATTCAAGAGGAAAATCGTGTAAAAGCAGAAGGATATGGTCAATAAGTAGTCACTCCTATGCTACTAGGTGAATACACACCTGCGGAGATTTGAAAGCTGCACAGCAAATCTGCAAAAAGGAAATCTCTGCGACATCTCTGTATTTTCATTTTCGAGATGTGTCTCTATGAATGTTTTCAGCCCACCTTTCTCGGAATACGTTCTTTTGTCCCTAGAAGTGAGCGGAATATAAACAAAGATGGTAACCGACATGTTCATCGTTGGGAGATCTCGAAGAGCATTGCGACAGACATTTGGAAATCTGAGGAGAAAGTGTGAATCAATCAAGTTAAGCTGACCAGTCTTTCCCAGATGGCTTTGTCCCATTTCTGAACATTAACAAGGGAGGTCATCAGGTCGGTCCGGCCATTTGCAATGAGTCGTATACCGTTGAAGTCGCCTCGAGGCGCTGAGCTCAGAACTGCCTTCCTTATCTGCTAAACGATTCTGAACGTAGTTATAAAGCAAGGAAGCGCAGTGGCAGTGCCCCGAACTCGCGAGCAAGAGGTCGTGGGAACGGTTCCTCGGAGCCTTCCTTTTTGTTTTTTCTTGTGGCAGAAAAGCTTCTATATTCGTTAATTTATCATCACTTGCCATTAGTTGCCTCTATCGAGCAGTTCCTTGCAGGTTTGGGCAGTGTCCGGCATTTGTCTATTTGTACCAATGGTGCCCGTGAGGCTTTCTCCCGGCAAACGGACATGGTATGCACGTTCAGCGGATCAAACTACCTCTAGAAGAACGTTTCCTACCAAATCTGAGATTTTGACCCAACTATTAAAATTAGGTGAGGTGAGCCAACCATCATCAACCATCATATCATCAATTTATCGTTGAACCCTTGGGATGGAAATTGCCCTTCAACCAAGATTCCGAAAAGAAAACGTTCAAGCTGCTTACGTTTTCGCATAATGGGAATGATTTACATGGCTCTGCATCCCAGTTCGGACTAGTGCTTTTGCTAGTTCGTTTTCGATTCGTGTGCTCCCTTCCTTCGTGAGCTTGGCTGACCTCGGTGACTGCCCTCTCTCGAAGACAGATCAAAATCTCAGCTGGGAACTTGTTAACAAGAGTAGATTGACCCCCTTAACACGAATATTATGCTCGTTTTACGCAAAAAACGCCTGTCTAGGGTCCCATGACCTCTCTTCTACGAGGCTGGAGCGCTACAACCTGCACCATTACTTTCATGCAAGTTATCTCCTCGCTTGGTTCATAAAAGCGGCTCCATGGATAGCATTCGAACATAGCATTCGTAACTCCGTTCGGAGCATCGTTCAGCAGATACGGAAAACAGATTATGGCTCGCCGTCTCAAGACGAATGCAGCGATGTACACCTCTTTGCGAATGGCCGGACCGGCCTGGTTCCCTTCCCTCGTAAGGTCAAAATTACTGATGGTCAGATCAGCACGATGTGGCGCAAAAAACAGGCATCTAAGAAAATACCTATCCATGCGCAGAGGCCATCTGCCATAAAGCTGAATGTGGTTCGCTACATTTTCTCGATATCGCATAAGCTGACCTCCGCGATTCACGAAGAAATGGATACGTAAGTTGATGAAATTCTTTGGCAAGACGTATACAGATGACAACACCTTCGAAGCTGGAGACCATACGGATCCCGCTATGGACACTACACTGAGGTTACCTTTCATTACCGACTCGTTGGCGATATATTCTGATATCGTCGTGAAGAGTCATGTCTTCCAATAAGCCTGAACTTTTGTCCACCTCCGACTTTACGACCCCTTCTGAGATGTTCACGTTCGTAATAGTCGGTGTGAAATAGCTAACTGTACAATGTGCGGCGAACATAAGGTGTGTCAAGAACAATATGTGGTGTACAAAGTGGTGTGCCTCACCTGTAACGAGTTTTACATCGGAGAAACATCAAGGCCACTACATAGGAGAATGGATGAACACCGAAGAGCTTTGCGTAGTCCACAGAACTACCCGGAAAATCCATTCTCCAGACATCGTACACTCCGGCATTCGCAGGAAATACCGCCCTAAACTTCTCGTCTCCATTCTCCACAGAAATGTGGCGGATCCAGTCGAAAGGAAAATAAGGGAAGCGCTAGAAATAAGGCAACAGAAGCCACCGATAAACAACAAGGAGGAGATGAAAGTGGCAATGAGTCTGGTATCAATATTATACGTGCACTATGAAGGAAAACGTGACAGCCTCAATGGGTTTTTTCGAGCGCGCATATGTGCATATATATGCACCCATAGGACGCTTGCTTAGCATTTTCGTCAGTGTTCACGTAGAGCATGGCATCCGCCCTTTCCTCTAATTCCCTACCACCCAACTCTCCCGTAGTTTACCATTGTTCCTGTTACCAGTATTTTTACTTGATAGTATGCGGTGTTCTGTGCTTATTTAAGATCAGTCTACCTTGAGAAGGAGTTGTGCTCGAAAAGATGTCAATAAAATTTGAACAAACAGAAGAGCTCCTTGTCTCTATCTAATGCTGGAAGATAAGATAATATTGCGAGTTCTTCTCTCCTCCTATACCTTACGTCTCGCTCTAAAACTTTTGCCTAGACCTAAGCACGAATTTTCACGTTTCCAGTGAAAGAAGAGAAGACGTCCACCCTGTAGATTTCACACTCCTAACCCTGCAGGAGTTCAAAACCAGCACCTTTTGATGACTCTTGTTTTGTTAAAAGTCCGCTCGGTAGGTATCGCCTGCCGATCGCTTCCTGTTATGTGCGCAGGCTCCATTCTTGACTTCTTCTCACCTAACCACAACAAGCCCAAACTTTAAAACCCTGAATTTTCGGCCTCCCTTTAATCATTTCCACATGGCGTTTTTTTTTCAGGATTTAAGTTTTGACGCTCCTGCGTGCGATCTCATTTTTTGCGATCGAAGTGAAGCTGAAACGCCATTCGTAACAACCCTCTTTCTATGACGAAACCAGTTCTACGGATGCTGATGGATTCGTAGGCGATGGAGCTTCTTCTCATGGTCAAGGTCATCATCGAACTTCCACACCTCGGAAAATGCAATGGGCAGACCCAGGCGGAATTTTCAAGGAAGCCGGCAAGAGCAGCGACAGCGGACGAGTCGAGGCGCGTGCTGAGGTGATTCCGCGTCAAGTTAAATAGAATGTACTACTGTACGTCCTACATCGCACAGCACGCCTGCTACTCGTCCGCTGATTCTGGTTTCTTGCCGCCGATGGGCTTTCTGTCGGGTACCCGTAATGAACACATAGTCGTAGGCCAGGCTATAGACCAAACTCCTGTCACCTCATCAAAGTACATCAGCACGAATGCTGCTGATGCACTTTAATGAGGTGCTGGACCGATCGAATGCACAAAAAGTCGTACGGAAAAAGGCTACTATACCTTCCCGGCCATACTCTAGTATTACAGCTGAGACATGCGATAATTGTTCCTCAGACAAACGAACAAGGGAAGTTATAAGCTAAATGTTAGGAGAGCCCAACTGAAGTTGCAGGACTATCATAGCCTCTCTTTTTGAGCGGTTGTACATGTAGCTCATTTCATTTGTCGACTGTCACTGGCTAAAAAATATGGGCGTTTGTAACAAACTTGGATTTTTAATTTACATTTCGCCTGCGCTGAGCACTTTGTGGTTCTTTGAGTTCTCGATTTGATTTCTCTAATAAATCAGCGCAATATTTGGCAAAAATGGCTTTTGACAGTTAACACGTACAGCAAATGACAATAAAATGGCAAGTGCAAAACATAAACTAACGATTGGAATAGAACCGGTTCTTGCAGCATACGCTGAGTCTTAGGAATTTCCAATAACCTCTTTTCTGTTATTGTTGTTTCTTCCTCGAAAACCATTCCACATTCATCCTATTGTTCTTTGAATGTTACACACGGTTGAGCAACGCGGCAACAAATATTACTAGAGAAGCACTTTCAACAGTGTTTTGCCATGTTTGTCGTGGAGTGGGACCCATGATTCCTCTTCAACACACATTTCTCATCCTGCCATATGCGTTCTGGTTCGTCTTGACGACATGTGTTTTCCGAATTCCCCGCAAAAAATTGCAAAGAAGACGGTGGTGGGCGTGTCAAAAGGTGCTCCGTAACTGGTTTCGAATGGCAATTTTCGATGAGATTCGTTGTGTAACACCGTTCACCGAACATATTATTGTGAGCACCCTAATGTCTATCTTATTGTTGCTGTTGTCCTCACCTCTTCTGCAAACTCTTGCAGGTGAATATTGCCTCTGTTGGCCAAAAATTAGTTTTGTCAATTTTTCAATAACTCTCTTCGCATAGTGCACAATAGACATTAGTTTTCGTATCAGGTGACTTTTTTGTGCATTGATACGTGCGCTCCGAAAGATTACAAAGAATAAGCGAAGGTTCCCGATGGATGAAATTATTTGGCGGTGTCGTAAGTGGCGGGATCAACAATGATCATAGCAGCGATCCTGCGGATGAGTGAGAACCGTGACTCGCGCTGGATGTCGAGGGCACGGCGCGTCTCCAAGCAGGCACGACCAATGTCAATTCCCGTTGGGGATGTGGGTTTGGGACTCATAAGTTTCTGTCAAGAAAAACTTCAAAATGGGAAGAAGGAGTCCGCTACGCAAGAAGAAATGAAATTTTCAGCGTTAAAGGCACGAGTCGGGATTGAATTGATGCGTTATTTTGTTCAAACATTAGGCAAGGGGTGCAATGAGGAACATTAGTGAGGAGAAAAAGCAAAAAGCACCATAGAAAACACTAAATTTCCCTTAGGAGGCCGGCCGTAGTACGACGGAGAGACACAGCGCTGCGAGGAGAGGGAGAACGCGAGATAGTACGTCATACGCGAGAGACGCAGAGACCACGTATGCCGTGGTGGATTACGCTGGCAGCGCGGGCAGCGCGGCGGCAAGGCCTTAGCGCCATTGCCGCGCACTTTTGGGTCGCGATAGTGTCGCGCCCTCAGTGCTTGGGGAGCCCACTATCGCACCCTGGGAAGAACTTCTGCTGGTTGCCTAATCCTGACTCGTGGCTTCAACTACGCAGAAATATAGCCGCTGCGGTTCGTACCGTGCGGATCACTTTTACACCTTGGGAAAAGCAGAAAACCCCATTTCCGAGTGTTTTCAGTCCTACGAGGCCCCTTTTCTGAAGTACTGAATGTATCGAATCACGCTAATATCTTTTAGATAGAACTCTTCTCAGGGCTATATCATTTTTTCGTATTAACCCACTTGAAGGAAGTCATGCCTTTGAAGGTGTCAAATCTCGCGCTTTTTGGAATTCCTCTTTAGTAACTCGGAAACGGTTTTTCTCAATTTT